TCCCCCTCTCCACCCCTCTTCATGGAAGGTTGAGAAGGGCTGAGGGGAGAAAGTTAGATCATCTGGTGCTGGTAATAATGAGCATGATAACACCATCTCTTGACTGTTTAGTGTGGACCATGCAGTGTGCTCTATTTGAATTTTCTAATTTGATTTCACTGCTACCCAGTGGGGGTTATGGTACTTCCTCTCGTCTTTTCCCAAACGTTCCAGCTGTCTGGTTTCAGCATTGAATGATTTCACTATTCATCAGAGCTCTGTTTGACATGAGTTATGAAGGAGTGGTAACTGCTGGCCCAGCATGGTTGTGACTAGTAGTAGTGCCCTGGAGACTCCTGAAATACTTCACTCAAGTAACATGTGGTCGTTTGTTGTTTGTTTTGAAAGATTAAACAAGTAAACTGGAAAAGTGGCCCCTGCCCCTGCCCTATCTTTGTTTCAACCCTCTCCCCGAGATATCTGCCAGACCTTTGGTGTGTGTTTGTTTTGATTTTTTTAAAAAGTAGGCTTGATGGCCAGCATAGAGCCAAACACAGAGCTTGAACACACAACCTTGAGATCAAAACCTGAGCTGAAATCAAGAATCGGACACTCAACCAACTGGGCCACCCAGACCTGTGTTTTGGCATAAACATATTCAAATATTCTGAGAGCTGTTTCAAAGAGACTTTCCTTCCAAAGAACTCACTCCTTGGCTGCTCTGCCCTAAACTAACCTTTCTTTTCAGCTGGCATTTTCCTGTTTGGACCTTGATTGAGGAACTTCACCAGAAACAGGCTTGTTTGCTTCTAAAGAACTCTGTGGGGCAGTAACATAGTGTTTGTAGCCCCTGTTCACTCCTGAAGTCCTCCTGTTCCCCAGGGATAATGTGTAGGAGCAAGAAAGATGTAAGATTAATAGCTCTATGAAATATGTCAGATTATTCAAAATACTTTTTTCCAGATGAGGTCACTGTGTTGGCTCCTAAAGTAAGTTCCTCCCAAGCTCTCGATTGGAGGGTCAACTGATGGTGTATCCTTTAGGCTTAGTCAGAGAGAGTATGAATTCCCTTGCTTATTTTTAAGTAGTGGCCATATATGGCTAAAAAAAAATATATGTAAATTGGATGAAAATAATGGGACTTGTGAATCTTTTAATTTATATAATCACCAATTACTCTAGGTTTGCTTCAGTTGGGTGTTTTTAAAACAAGGCTTCCAACCTGTGAGGCCTCCTACATATATAAATACTTTTCCTTCTTGTTCTCTTGCCTTCAGTGTCTCATCCTAAAATATTTCCTGAGAGATGGGCAGCCTGTTCTGAGATTCAAAGGCACACACACATAGACACACCAAGTGTATGTTGTCACAGTGCACTTAGAAATTTGAAGGAGGTGGGGAGAAGGATCTCACAGACATTGTGTCAGGAGCCCAGGGTATATACTACAGGGACAGGTTTTATGACCTCATGGAAAAACAGCCTTATGAGTATATGCTGTCTGTGGGGTCTGGCCGCAGACATTATCTAGACTTCATCTTTATGGCAGAAACCACTATTCTAGTGTGTTGTATTTTGCAACTATTTTCTGAATTCCTCTACTTCTTATATTTTAGACCTTCTAATACTTTTTTTAAGTTTGTCATTCCTCATTCCTTTAGGAAGATGGGGTCATTCCATGGCACTTGAGTGGCAATGCTATTAAGGGCCACATGTGGGAAAAGGTGACCTATGGCAGCAATCAGAGGTTCCTGGGATCCAGGTTGCCCGAATTTTCTAGCTAGATCCTGCTTCCTCTTCACATAGGGTTTTGATTTCATCAAGAATCTCTAAAGAGAAGGAAGAAATTTGCTTTGAGCAGCCATTTCCTCGTGTAAACCAGACACTACTCCTGAGCCAGAAACTGTGATACCAGGTTGGAACACTTGTATGTGGTACTGCTATGAGCGGTATTGTTTACTTCATGTTCTCAAATCTGCTCTGCGTAGATTATCTGCCACAACAGACTTGTTTTGCTTGGCAGTTCCTGACAGCCATCTTAGCCAACCTCGGCTGTCTCTTACTAGTGATGGAGCTCTTTCCCCAAAAGAGATTTTTACAGAGCCATCTTCTTGTCTCCTTGATCCCTGTGTCCAGATAATGCTTCTTTAGGAAGACAGATGGCTCTTTCCTAAGTTGCCATCCTCCACATCATGGGGACTCTGAGAGGAAACAAGGAGTGGGAAACAGCCTTTGCAAAAACATACAAGATTTAGAATCTCGTTAGTCAGGAAAACCCACTTTACTTTGGCACTTGCCCAGGTGGCCTGCTTCACACACTGCCTGGGAGCAGGCTACTCGCAGGCTCTGAAGAGGGAAGGAGTGTATTCTTTGCTTCCCTCTTCCTCATTTGGATTCGAAGTCAAGCCAGCCAGATGCTAGGCCACTCACATTCGATTTTCCTGGAACTGAGGATTTATGTGATAGGATGCAGAGAGGCAGACATTGCATGGTGTGTACAAAAGAGAGAATGGAAGAGTTCTTTTCACCCAGCCCTGGAGTCCTGTGCAGTGGGCATCCATGACAAAAGGGGAAAGTGGGGTTGGCTGCAGTGCTAATGAGAACACATGCTCTTACAAGCTTCATCCACAAAGGGCCTCAGTATAAATGGGAGAGTGTGTCCAGCCTGGGTTTTGTCTTGTCCCTGAAACTTAAGGATAATTGAGGGGACAGGGACTAAGCATGTGTTTCATTCCTATTTAAGAAGCATGTGGAGTCAGGCAAAGTTGAGTTTTAATCTAGGCACCACTCATTATTGGTTGTTTAATTATAGAAGAGTTACTTAGTTCTTCTGATTCTTGGATTCATCGTCAATAAATTGAATGTAAGGTTTTTGTGAGAATTAAATAAGATAACAGAAGTAAAGTGTCTACCACAGTACCTGGCATTTTTTAGGTGCCCAAATTAGTATTCATCACTGCTCCTGTGTTTCCCCTTCATTTACCGAACTTCTTCAGTTTATTCATTCATTCAACAGAATATTGAGCACTTACTGTGTTCCACCCACTGCTGGAAACAGCTTGTTGCTCCTGGTCAGTTGAGTAGCACATTACTCAAGTTCAGTGTAGTAGAAGCAATGACAATGGCATACACGCAGATGAGGCATCCTGTTCAAAGTGGAGAGCCCGGGAAGGCTGCCTGGAGAAGGTGATATTCAAGCTGATTACTTTTAAGTCTGGGGAAAGAGAAGGAAGGACTCCAGGGAGTAGCACTTACAGAGGCATGAAGGTCTGAGATAGCGGGATATGCATGAGGAGCCCCGAGGACGGTATTTTTCAGGCCTACCAGTCCATTTTCATTTCCTGCCCCTTTTCTCCTATCACTTTGATGTTTCTGCTGGATTGCATTGGTAGGTAAAATGTGGATTCCCGAAAGAGGAACTATGTGAGTTGGGACTGTGAATCTGTTGAGTGTATACAACACACACGTGTGTGGTCTTGTAAAGTCCCTGGCGGGCTTTGACTCTTCTCTTGTGTGCGCTTCCCTACCATAAACACACAGAGTGTAACATCCCCTGCACCGTAACTCTGTAGTTGGGACATGGTGAGGTCCATTTTCTGTGTCCTTAATTTGAGGTTATTGGCATCAAAATCTAGTCCTAGAACGTAGGCTGTTTTTAGCCCACTGTTGTATTGAATATTGGCAGTAATCAGTTGTGGTTTAGTACTCTCTCTCCTTTAGAAAGAATCCATGTAGTTTCCTTCGTAGGAAAAGAGGATGACATCATGTGCCTTCTTCAGGCTCTCTGTGCAGAGACGACACCCACAGTTCCTAGAGATATAGACAGAAATCGGGGGTCTTCCTTGGCAGCTAGTCTCATCAAGATACAAGGTCCTCTCCCCATCGAAATGTGTGTTTTAAAAGTAACTTGAACCAAAAAATTCTCTGCTAATTCTTTCTGCCTAGCCATTGCAAAATTGCTTGCTTGGTAAGGATGCCAGGATTCCATTCAGAATTATCCCAGATGAATGACTTCTTATAGAAGAGTCTTGTTTTTTGTCATTTGTGAAAACTGAAGATGGTTTTATGACTTTGATTTAGACAGTAAATGACCGTGCTTAATGGACTGTTTGGAATTCAGAATTACTGGCTGGTTCAGAGGTTTTGCTTTAGAGGAAACATTGAATGAGGGAACGTGTAAGACAGGCCCTCCCCCCTGAGATGAGCCCAAACTGACATCTGAGGTTTGGGGTGATCCTTCTCCTTCTTCCCTTATGTTCTATTCCCTGAACTCTCCTGGCCCATTGTGGCTGCTGGAAATAAGATCACTTTAAGTAAAATAATGTTGGCATCCAGTTCCATTTTGTTTCTTTTTTTTTTTCCCCACCAACATGTGTGATGGGATTTAAGTCCCTATAGCTGGCAAGATGCTTGAAGAGGTGAAATCACTGTCTCAGCTTCCAGGTGAACTCCAGAGGTTGGCAGGGGACTTCTCTGCTTATATCTTGACTTGTCACACTTCGCTATGAAAAGCAGACTACAGTAGGGGCTGCTGAGAGTTGGTCAGGGACGAGTAGATGTAAAATATGTTTCTCTAGTGACCGTTGACCTTTCAGAATTGGTTGGTGAGGAGGAAGATATTGGCTGGTTTCTCTGGCACCCCCAGCCTTGCCTTATTTCAAGCCACACCAGGGTTAGGAGAGAAAAGAAAGCCACTCAGTGAAGTCATGGATGGTGAGACAGCTGTATTGTTCTTTGGAGCGAGAGCAGAGCTCGAGGGAGTGGGGACACATGAGCAGACCCATCAGTAGTCTTAAAACTCCCAGTCCTTGATGAAGCCGGCTTTGATGGCCTGAGGGCAGCAGGAAGACCACTGAAAACATGGTAGGGATCTACTGTTCTTCTCTCGGGGTCCTAAGTGACAGCCACAGCTGGTTGCCCAGGAGGGACAGAGGTGTGGCTCTGTTGCTTAGTTGAGGCCCCCAGTAGCACGGCGTCCATCCTCCTGGAACTGTAACATCCCCAATGGCTTCTCTTCCCTTCAGGCTGACGGATTTCAAGGATGCAGCTGCTACTCCTGGAGGTGCGGGGCACCTTCTCCAATTTGGGCCACGAGGCCATGTGGCCATGATGGGGCCCCTCATGGCCTCAGCGAGAACAGAGCACTACAATATTGGCCTCCACCGGGGAAACAGCTTAAAGCAGAGCGGCCCCTCAGACACGGCGCCTGCCCCGCCACCACCGGAGAAAGCCTCTGAGGGCAGAGCCTGGGCTCAGGCCCATCAGCAGGTGAAGCCAATCTGGAAGCTGGAGAGAAAGCACGTAGGGACGCTTTCAGCAGGGTTGGGCCCCAGCCTCTTGGGTGTCCCATCCCAGCCAGCCTATTTCTTTTGCCCGGGCACTCTGTGTAGCTCGGGGCACTCAGCTGTCATCGCAGGCCACGGCAGCTCCTGCTACCTGCGCTCCCTCCCAGACTTGTTCAGCAGCACGCTGCTGTACCGCCGCTCCAGCCACAGGCACAAACCCTACCAGCAGCTGGAGTCTTTCTGCTTGCGCTCAAGCCTGCCGGAGAAAACACCTTTTTCTCTCCCTCACAAGGGCCTCCCTGTCAGACTCACTGCCAATAAGGCCCCTTCTTTCACGGTGTCCCCCATGGCCCAGCCCATGGCGTCCTCATCCACAGATCGGTACCTCTCACTGGGAGCGGCTGGGGAGAACCCTTCGGGGAAGTGCCTGGCTGCTGCCATCTCAGGGAAGATCCCATCTCCACTCTCCTCCTCCTACAAGCCCATGCTAAATAACAACTCCTTCATGCGGCCAAATAGCACTAAAGTGCCTTTATCGCAGGCCACAGAGGGCCTGAAGCCCGTATCCTCACCCAAGATCCATCTTGTTTCCTGGCATCATTCAGGGGGCACCGGAGACTGTGCACTCCAGCCTGTCGAACACAAGGTACCCAAGAGCAATGGCGCTATCCTAGATGATGCCCTTGCCCCTGGCACCCTCTCTGCCCCTAGCTCCTTAGACACTTTGACCACCAGTGTTGCCTCTCCTCAGTATAACCGGAGTAACTTAGCCACAAGAGCAGAGCCACATCCTTGTGGCCTGGATGGCAACTTTGTTTCTCAGGCTCTGACCAGGGAGGTTAGGTTCACTGAGGCGGTGAGGAAATTGACCGCAAGAGGCTTTGAGAAGAAGCCAAGGCAAGGCTGCCAGTTGGAACAATCTCGTTTCATGAACCCCAGCTTGCAGTGTGAGCTCCTCAACAGGAACCGGCAGTGGAAACCTCCCACCGTAGGCCAGCAGTTCCCCCAGGAGGATGCTGGGGCAAACAGTAGGACCCTGCTCAGCCCCTCGGACACCCTGGAGCTGGACGGTACAGTCTTCTGTACCAAACGCATCAGCATTCACCTCCTTGCCTCACATGCCAGCACGCTCAGCTGCAGCCCTGCCTGTGGATCTGCCATTGACTCCCCACCACCTGGAGAAAACAAAACTCCCGAGCCACCTGCTCCTCCTCAGCCCCTGGGTGTAGCTGATGTGGCCACCCGCCTCTCTTCCATCCACTTGGGCCAACTTGGGAAGGAGGGGCCTACGGAAGCCAGAGGGCCGGACTTCCCTGCCAGGGATATCGGGTAAGTTAGAGAAAGTTTATGATTCATTTAGAGCAGTAGAACATATATGCCGTAATTTGGTGGCACTGAACCTAAGTCTTTGAAGGTTTGGTTTTATTTTTTTGGCTGTCCTGGAATTTTGGTTTTCACTATAGGGCAGAGGTAGACAAACTAGACCAGCATGTGGGCCAAATCTTGGCTGCTGCCTGCTTTTATAAATAAAGTTTTATTGAAACACAGCCTCACACATTCATTCACTGCTAACTGGGGCTACTTTCCTGTTACACACGGGTAGGGGTGCATAGTTACAACAAACTGGCCCACAAAATTGAAAAGATTTACTACCTAGTCCTTTAGAGAAAGAGATTGTTGACCCTGCTTTAGGTTATAACCAGGAAGAAATAATACCAAACATGTTGGGGCCTGTGACTTTTCTTAATTCCAAACTAACTCAGACTCTCATTCCTTGTTTGACAATCATTTCAGAGTTAGGGCATATACAAACTGGGTTCCTTCTCTTGTGCCCTCATACATCTCTGTAACCTTGGTCCACCGAGGCCTTGTTTTGAATTCTCAGAGGTCTAGGCACCCTTGAAATCAATGACCATTCACTAATGGCGTTTCGCATGTAGAATTTTGCACTGAAGTGCTATGAGGGATTTCAGAGAAGATGGGAGACAGAGTGCCTCTCTGCACAATAGGGGCTGTAGAGCTGAAGAGCTGTGACTAGACCTAAGTTCTGAGGCCGAAAGGACTTGTGAGATCTAGGCAAGAGGCAGCAGGTTGGCAAGTGGAGGGAGATGAACACTGGCAGGTGACGAAGGAATGAGAATCTAACTGACTTCTCTCATGGACTGGGCGGGGGCATGATTCTTTCTTATAGTTCAGCTGCAGACCTCCAGCCAGACCTGGGTGAGGCTGAAGATCTAGAAGAAGAGCTAGTAGATGGTTTGGAGGACTGCTGTAGCCATGATGAAAATGAAGAGGAGGAAGGTGAGTAAGGGACTCTCTCCCCTCCAGCTGGGAAGTGGTCACCACCTGAGACGGAGGGGGGCTGACAGTTATATACTGACTGGGACCTTGACTTGCTTTATTACCTACCATCCCCATCTGCTTGTGGGTCTTAGGGTGGTCGTGGTTTCTGGGGAGTTGATTCGCTAGCCCTGCTGCCCACCAGTGTTGTTTTCTTCGTGCTGCTGCCAAGATCACAGAAGGTGGTACAAGGTGGCAGGGTGATGTTCCTGGCTCTTCAGGAAGGCTGAGCCAAGATGTCCCAAGGAAGAGCTGCCTAGGCTTGGTGAGTTTGAGTAGCAGCCTCTCCTAGTCGAACTTCTCTGCTCTCTCCCCTCCAGGAGACTCTGAGTGCTCTTCGTTCAGTGCTGTCTCCACTGGTGAGTCAGTAGCAGTGATCTCTCGGTGAGTACTGTCCATTGTTGGTACAGACTCATTTGCAGTCTCTTTAAGATTATAAAGAGAGAGGCACTTGGGTGGCTCAGTCAGTTGAGTGTCCAGTTCTTGGTTTCAGCTTAGATCATCATTCTCATGGGTCATGGGATCAAGGCCTGTTTTGGACTCTGCACTCAGCAGGGTGTCTGCTTGAAGATTCTCTCCCTCACACACCCTCTACTCGCTCGATATCTCTCTCTTTCAAATGAATAAGTAAATACTTAAAAAAAATTATGAAAAGATTAATCACCTAAGTCATTAATGGCCCTGTTAACTATAACTCATTTTTACCAGATTTTTACATTTGGGACTTTATTTTTCAAACAAGGACCAGTGGAAGGGACCAGAAGCATATTTTACCATTTGGGCTTAAAAATAGGACCATGTTTCTTAGGCTGTGTTTTGGCCTTTAGTTTCCAAGGACCATGTTTCTTAGGCTGTGTTTTGGCCTTTAGTTTCCAAGAAATTGTTCAAGTAAAAAGAAAAGGATTTCAAGAAGTGCTTAGAAGATTGATAAGCAGCCAATGGAGAAACATGATATTTGGCCACCCACATGAGAGTAATTGCCACCTTGCATTATCAGCGTGCCCCACTGTCAGATGCAGTTCTGAGATATGTATGCCCTTCACTGGAGCTTTTTGAAATGCTTCCTTCTGAGGTTAGTGTTATTAGGGGAAATAAGGTTGACATTGACCTTAATAATAAAATTGAATTGAATTGAATAAAATTGAAATTGAATTAAAAATCCTCCAGCTTAAACCTAGATTATTTTCTTGACTACTCTTGGTCGAGTCTGACCAAGATCCATCTCTCACTAGGGAACCAAAAATCCCAGCCTCTTCACATAGGCCCTTCTTTTACAGAAAAAGTGGCTGGAGCCTGTTGCATGACTGAGATGAGGGTTGGGGGAGGGCAAGGAATGCAGGACTGTGAGGAAGTTACTATGAACCAGGGTACGTCATTGTGCTAAAGATCTTTGGAACTTGCCGAAGGGTCATAGATGCCATCTTTCAGGTATTTAACACCCTTCAACATAATCTTTATTGTTCCCCTCACTATTTCCAACCTTGCCTCATTGTATTCTATTAAATACTATAAAGAACCCCACACACACACACCCGCCCAAAGTACTAAACATTAAAGTTTTTTTTTTTTCTTTTTAAAAATAACTTCTGGAAAAACAAAAACAAAATACAAGTATTGACCATTGGTGAGTTTCGTTTTTCACACAAAATAAAACTCTAATTTCAATGAAAAGCTGTACGTGTCAGGGCTTACATACACCTGTCGTACACAGCACTTGGTTGGCTTTTCTCTTGTGTCTGCTGTGTCTCAGCTGAAGTGAAGGGGATCAGGAGCCTTCCGTGCCTTGGTTAGTGTGGACGAGGCAAGCTGCAGCCATGTGCGTGTGATGGTGGCAGTGGCTGCACCAATGTCAGAGCTCTAAACCAGTGAGGGGAGAGAGCTCTTTGGAAAGTGAAGAGACACTTCCTAGGTCTTTCTAGACATTTTCTAGGTCTTTCTTTGAGGGTGGATAGAAATCCTGTCATAGGTACGTTGAGTCTGGTGCCTCAGTTCTGTTACTTTGAGCACAGTAACCTGTCCTCCTTCCAAAAAACAAAGGTACATCTGAATGTTGACTCAGGACCTCTGCTGTCCATAAGAGAAGGACATTTAACATGTGATTGACTTGGAGTCTCACCTTTTCCATACTTACCAGTGCTCTAGGTTTGTCTTGAGACCTACTTGGAGACAGCTGCCCAACCCTTCACCTTACCTTTCTAACAAAATTCACAAAAGGTATTTGCTTATACTTTGTTTGTTGGTTAATGTAGCTCTTACAAGATGTACAGACTTTCTTTTCTATTTAAGGCTTAAAACATGGATGTTCAGTCAGATGGAGGTCGAGGAATTCCAAACTACTTCACATTTTAAAGATCACTAAAATCAAATACTTTTGGATTGTTAAAGTCATTTTTTCCGAAATTGTGAGAGATTTATGTATTTTATTATAGAAAAGTTGACAATTACAGAGAAGTCATTGAAAACACTATCTCTGTTTCTCTACCTAGTTTATTGCCTTTCCTGTTTCATATTCTTTTTTCTAAGAATCACTTAATTTTAGAACTGGGGGTCATTAAGTCCAGTCTCTTTTTTCAGATGTGGATAATTAGGACCAGAGAAGTATTATGGGGTCATAGTTTCTAACACTGCTAGACCAGAAGCCAGGCCTCTTGAAGATGATAGATAGGTCCAGTACTCTTGAGAGGCAGCGAAAAAAGATTTTCCGCCCTTTTTTTTTAATTAAACTTTTTTTTTTTTTTAAGATTTTATTTATTTATTCATGAGAGACACAGAGCGAGACACAGGCAGAGACACAGGCAGAGGGAGAAGCAGGCCCCATGCAGGGAGCCTGACATGGGACTCGATCCCAGGATCATGCCTTGGACTGAAGGTGGCGCTAAACCGATGAGCCACACGGGCTGCCCTAAAATTAAACTTTTGATTTTGAGACATTATAGATTTACATGTAGTTGTGAGAAATAATACAGAGATCCCCTAAACTTTTTACTCAGTGTCCCCCAGTGGTGACATCTGGCAAAACCACCACTTCCCTCCTGACTATTCCCTCCTTGATGTTTGGCAACTACTAATTTGTTATATAATTTAGTCATTTCAAGAATATTATACGAATAGAATGATAGCCATATGTAACTTTTAGGGATGGGCTTTTTTTTTTTTTTTTTTTTTTTACCGTGTATTCACTGCAGATTTATCCAGGTTGTTGCGTGCATCAAGGTTCTTCATCCCTTTTTATTTCAGAGCAGTGTTATATGGTGTGGATGTACCACAGTACATTTAGCTGTTGAAGGATATTTGGGTTACTTCCAGATTGGGCTTTTGTGAATAAGGCTGCTGTAAGTCATCATGTCCATATATTTTTAAAATTAAAAAAATTTTTTTAAATAACTTCTACATCCAGCGTGGGGCTTGAACTCATGACCCTGAAATTAAGAGTTATAAGCTCTACCAACGGAGCCAACCAGGAGTGGTGTTTTGTTTTGTTTTGTTTTTTTAATTTATCTACGATAATCACACATAGAGAGAGAGGCAGAGACACAGGCAGAGGGAGAAGCAGGCTCCATGCACCGGGAGCCCGACGTGGGATTCGATCCCGGGTCTCCAGGATCGCGCCCTGGGCCAAAGGCAGGCGCCAAACCGCTGCGCCACCCAGGGATCCCAGGAGTGTTTTTTTAAGATTTATGTATGTATGTATGTATGTGCAACAGGCAGAGGACCACAGGGGAATGGGTGAGGGGGAAAGAGTTCCAAGCAGACTCCACACTGAGTGCGGACCCTGATGCAGGGCTGAATCTCACAACCCTGAGATCATGGCCTAGTTACTGACTGAGCCACCCAGGTGCCCTGCCTGTTTTTTGTTTTTTGTTTTTTGAGAAACTTCCAAAACAGTTTTCCAGAGTGGCTATACCATTTTACATTCCTATTTTGTCTTTGTTTCTGAATCTTCCCTCATTCTCCTTGATTTTCAACAATCTTAAATTCTAATACTCCATAAATTAAAAGTCTTTGAAATAAAATATTTTGGAATGAGGAATTAAGAGTTGAATTCATTGGAATTATTTAACTGAAAATTAGTATTTAACCTGACCCAACAGCATTCTTTAAAAATCTTTGATATTTTATTTAAATAATAATAATAATTAAAAAACCTTTGGTATTTAAAACACTGAAATGTTTTCCATACTAGTGCCTATTTCTGTTGTGCTGCAAAATAACAGGCAGAATGGCTCTTTATAAGCTAAAGATTAATCTTTAAATACTAATCTTTGTAGATCATAACTGCTCCGTAAAGAGAGTAATAACTCTTTTCTCCTTTGCCAGTGCTATTTAAAGAAATGGTTGGGTCTCTTCACTTGTACTGGAGACGGAGTTGAGATGTCCATTTTTTAGAGATCCCTTGAGCTAGTCTTGGCCACGCCATCATTGGAGCAACAGTAGGGACTCCATGGCCTATTGCCCCAAATTCCCAGATCTGTGTTACCACAGTGTTACATAAAAAACCCATGTCACAAATCATTTCCAAATCGGAGAGGAGCATTAATCATCTGCATATCTTCAGATTAACCTAAATATAAAATGATTTGGAAGGATCACTTTCTTTTCCTTCTGTTGCTTTTTTTCCTTTTTCTTTTTAAAACCTTCTGTACGTCTTTGGTCTTTTCTGCTCTTCCTTCTTTTTAATTATCCATACCTTTGTTTTCTCTTCTCTTTGTTCAGTCACACACCTGCTCTCAGAACCGCTCTTTTCCAGGGGCTTCCCCCACCTGTGGCTTCTCACCAGAAATGTTGAGCTATATCACAGAAGGAGGTATTGGGAAATCTGGTCTGTAGGTGACATTTAATGGAGTTTATATGGATTACTGTTTGTGAAATAATCACCAAGTACTTGTCTTTGTAGAATCACGATGTAGAAGACAGCACCCCGAAAAAAAATGACCTAGTAACAGCACTGGAGGGCTGTGGCCTCCTCTTTCTCTTCCACACATCTGTCTGTCTTGCATCCTAGGAGCTGTGCAGAGATTCTGACCAAACCCCTCTCCAGTGAGAAAGTGGTCCGACCAGCGCTCATCTACAGCCTCTTTCCCAACGTGCCCCCTACCATCTATTTTGGCACCCGGGATGAGAGAGGTAAACCTGGCCAAGTGTCTAAGCCCAGGAGTGCCCCCAGGAGAAGGATGCTGGCGAAGTTGGGAAGAAGTGGCAGTAGAGTGGAAGGGGCTTTCCAGAATGGCCCTTTTGGTATTCACTGTCATCCTTCTGCCTCCTTCATAGTTCACCAGTCCAATATAGGAGACTTTTCCTTGTCTTTCCCTGAGCTGACCCTTGTCAGCCCCATAATCTCATGCTGCATTCTTGCCCTCTAACCTTGTCTCTTCTGCCTTTTAACCTCCCTCCTCTCAGTGTTCCTTCCTCAGTCCCATGCAGCGCCCTTTTTTCCCACTAAGAAAACTGGGACTCCTTTGAAATTCTGGCCTAGAACAATCCTTAGTGACTTGTCTGCCTAGTGACTTGTCTTGCCTAGGATGCCAAGCTCCTGCGCAACAATGCCACCTTTCCTCTTCTAACCCAGACTCTCCTGCTCTCCCCCCCCCCCCACCATTTCCTTTCCCCAGTGGAGAAACTTCCCTGGGAGCAGAGGAAGCTGCTCCGGTGGAAGATGAGCACAGTGACTCCCAACATTGTCAAGCAGACCATTGGACGGTCCCACTTCAAAATCAGCAAGAGTGAGTCACCTGCCTTACTTCGATCCTGTCCTCTGCCCCAGTGGATGGGCTCTGGGCAGGAGGAGACCCTAGATACCTCCTGCTGTGTGGGGATCCTGTTCTGGAGTTTCCACTTAATAGGAAGACGTAGCTGAACTCTCTCTGGGCTGGAGCCTGTTCCTCAAAATTAGAAGACAAAGAGCTGTTGTTCTCTTCCTGACCCTAGGGTTTCATGTCGGACAGCTCCATGGTGACTTTTAGAACACTAGGAGCTGAGCCCAGGCCCAGTGGTATTTCTGGGGCCCCTAGGTCTCTCTGTCCTGAAGTCTGAGCTGCTAGCAGGACTGACTCCGTGATGTGCCTTCTGCAGGAAATGACGACTGGCTGGGCTGCTGGGGTCACCATATGAAGTCTCCTAGTTTCCGATCCATTCGGGAGCATCAGAAGGTAGGGGTCCTTTGTGGGGAACTCTTCCCCTGGACTTTGGACTAGGCAGGAGGAGGTTGGTGTGGGCAGTAGGGAAAGAGGAGGATGACTGTGGAGAAGCCAGGAAGGTGTGCAGAGTGGAGGTGGTGCGAGAGGAGGGGGCAGTGGGGCCCTTGTGGATCACGTACCTCTAGCAGCGCAGTGGCAGTGCTCCAGGCTCCCCAAAGACCCGTTCCCCTCTGATGTGTCTTGAGATGTGGCATCTGTTTCTTTGAATTGTGCTTCTCCTGTGACTACTGTGCATTGCCTCCGTGCCTCCAAGCTGGATATGCATAAAGAGGACTCTGGTCTCATGTTGCAGCAAAGGAGTCCCTGTCCCCAGACACTAATGAAGTCCAGATGCCTTCCTGTCTTTGCCCTGCAGCTGTCACGGCAAAAGACTTCAAACAGCTTTTTCTTTGCTCTTAAGGGAAATATCATGTCTGACTTAATCACTGTTCTTTGGCTGTGAACTGTCAGTTTCTTGGGGTCACTACAGTTTGGTGTATTTTATTTGTTTTAATCATCTTTTGGTGAGTGCTCAGAGTACTACTAATAGATGATGATGGTAAGATGGATCAAGAGCTCATGATGTTGCTGAGAAAGTTGGAAAGGCACTGTGAATCTTGCTCTCTCCCTCCTGGCCTCACCCAAGCTCTCTCCCTGCTCTCACCCTTTGTCCCTTCTGTAGCTAAACCACTTCCCAGGTTCCTTCCAGATTGGACGAAAGGACCGACTGTGGCGGAACCTGTCTCGCATGCAGAGCCGCTTTGGCAAGAAGGAGTTCAGCTTCTTCCCCCAGTCCTTCATCCTGCCCCAGGATGCCAAGCTCCTGCGCAAAGCCTGGGAGAGCGGCAGCCGCCAGAAGTGGATTGTTAAGCCTGTAAGTGGATCCCAGTGGGTTGGGGCCGTGGTCTGAGAGTGGGAACAATGCGTATTGGGCCAGCAGCAAATCTCAGCTCCTTTCCACTTGACTTCTAGCCAGCGTCAGCCCGGGGCATTGGCATCCAGGTCATTCACAAGTGGAGTCAGCTCCCCAAGCGAAGGCCCCTCCTGGTACAGAGGTGAGCCTGTCTCCAGCTCTCATCCCACTGCTCATTTTCCTGTGGCCTCAGCCTGGAAGTTCTCTTTTTAGAGTGTTCTTCTGCCCTTTACCCTCCCAGCCATTGACCTCCTTCAGCAGCTGTTTGAAGGTCTTTATCTCTCAGACTGCTCACTTGCTGGCTTTTGCTATTTTACCCACTGAGCCCTGTCTCATCGAGCATGTCCCTAAAGCTGACCTTTCCCTATTTAGGTATCTACACAAACCCTACCTCATCAGTGGCAGCAAGTTCGATCTGCGAATCTATGTTTACGTCACCTCCTATGATCCCCTCCGGATTTACCTCTTTTCAGATGGACTCGTCCGCTTTGCCAGTTGCAAGTACGTGATAGTGGTGATTGCAAGTACGTGATAGTGGTGAGGCTCACCCTGATGGCTCTGGGTTTTGTTTTCCTGAAAGAGCGAGAAACTGGAGGATGCCAAGCAGAATAAAAGCACATTTTGGTGGGTTTTGTTGGCAAAGGAAAAGGAGGGGTGTTTCCGGAAAACCCGATCTTCCTTTCCTCTTCTGTGTCTCCTTTTACGTAGAACACCACTTCACTTCTAAACTTCCAGTCACCAAATGTGTGGGGCTTTTCCCCACATGAAGCAGTTCTCTGGAGTACCAGCTGGGTATCCTGCATTGTCTACCAGCGTTACCCTAGCACTGTCTACCCCCTGGGTGTGTGGTCCCACAGGTCAGGGCTCAGTCTCACAAGGTTGCCCCTTCCTCCTGCTTCAGATGCCAGTCCCAAGTCCAGGTGCCACCTCAGCTCCTTGCCTGGTCAGCTATAAGTCAGAGGTTCCTGGGACCCCCTTGTTAGGCTCCATTAATTTGCTGGAGCAGCTCATCATAAAAGGAGATGGTAAGTTTGGTTACAGGCGAACAACCAAGTGGAAGAGAACAGGGTAAAGTGTCAGAAGAGACAATGCACAGAGCAATGTGTGTGGGAAGGGGCGCAGGGGCTCCCTGCTCTCTCTGGACACCACTGTCCTAGCATATACCACATGTTCACCCACCCAGAACATGAGCCCCATACTTTTGGGATTTTAAGGAGACTTCATCATGTGGGCATGTTGCTTGGTAATTCTGTTTTTAGCCCTTCTCCCTCTTTTTTTTTTTTTTTAAATTTTTTTTATTTATTTATGATAGGCACACAGTGAGAGAGAGAGGCAGAGACACAGGCAGAGGGAGAAGCAGGCTCCATGCACCGGGAGCCCAACGTGGGACTCGATCCCGGGTCTCCAGGATCGCGCCCTGGGCCAAAGGCAGGCGCTAAACCACTGCGCCACCCAGGGATCCCAGCCCTTCTCCCTCTTAAGGGTGGGGGCAGGGTTGAAAATTCCAGGCTTCAAATCATGGCCTGGTCTTTCTAGCCATCAGACCTTCTCCAGGAACCCATCCGGAGTCACCTCATTAGAACACAAGACACTCCTATCACCCAGGAAATGACAAGGGTTTCAGGAATTGGAGTCAAACACCAAATATTAGTCAAATGATGTTCTTAGTGCTCTCTCACTGAGGAAGTTATAAGGGATTTAGGAGCTCTGTGCCAAGAACCAGGGGCAGACACACACGTGTTAAGTTTCTTATTATAAATCGAATTGTCACATGGGGAATAGGAAGTGAGAAGTTCCTCTACCTCGCTGAATGTGGGGTGCGTCTTCTTGCCAGAGGTGGGATGGAGGAGATGAGTCCCACATATCTTGCCCCACGCTTCTCTTCCACTTGGCTGTTCATCTGTATCCTTTATCATATCCTTTGATAAGATGCTAGTAAACATAAGTAAACTTTTCCTGAGTTTTGTGAGCTGCTCAGGATAAAGGAGCTGTGCTGTTCTAGAAACCTTGCCAACAGATATACTGCTCTGGCTCTTGTGCATCTGAAAAGATTGGTCTACTTGGCCTTTATCTCTTCGGGATTTGGGAAAATGTTTCAGCCTTTGTCCACCTGCCGTGTCTCCCTGTCTCACCTCTGCCTTTCTCCTCACTTGCAGGTATTCCCCTTCCATGAAGAGCCTCAGCAACAAGTTCATGCACCTGACCAACTACAGTGTCAATAAAAAGAATGCCGAGTACCAGGCCAATGCAGATGAAACGGCCTGCCAGGGCCACAAATGGTACCCAGGCTGGGTCCCCATTGAGCGGAGGCCTGGAGGCACACAGGGTTTTGGGCTTTGGGGAGCTTTGGGGGCATGGTCAGTGGAGGACTGGTGGAAAACCCAAAGGTTGCATAAGCCCTGGGCAGCTCAGAAGCAGTCTACTTCCATCCATACTTCTCTCTTTCTTAATTTAAAATCTAAGAAGAGACATGGAGAAAATTACTTTGGTCCTCTTACTCCTTTTTCTTTTCTTCATAACCCATTCATAGAATATAACTCCAGATACCCCCCTCCCCTCCCCCCTGTTTTGCAGGGCGCTGAAGGCTTTGTGGAACTACCTGAGCCAGAAGGGAGTCAATAGTGATGCCATCTGGGAGAAGATAAAGGACGTTGTTGTCAAAACCATCATCTCGTGAGTCACACTGCCACCCTGGCTGTGGGGCTTGCCACTGGACCCCCTTTTCTCATGGGCCTCCACACTGCTGTGCCCCAGACGTTGACTACACTGTGTGTCAGTTTCTGAGAACAGGGAGTAGGATGGAGTGGCTAGAACTCTGCTCTTCTACTGAACTTCCTCTCCAAAAGCTGGCTCCAGATCAGAGGCATCTCTTGGGAGCTGTTTCTGTTCTTCCATCTCTGGGCAACTCCCTTGCCAGGGCAGCTCTAGGTGGGTCCCTCTGGGAAGATCTGAGCTGAATACTTGGTCTTCCCTGTGACCAGGTCAGAGCCCTATGTGACCAGCCTACTGAAGATGTACGTGCGGCGGCCATACAGCTGCCATGAGCTCTTTGGCTTTGACATCATGCTGGACGAGAACCTCAAGCCCTGGGTCCTGGAAGTCAACATTTCCCCGAGGTAACTGGGCTTCTCACGGTGCTCATGGTAGAGCCTCTTTCCCTTCTAATGTTGCAACTTGATCCCTCCTGCATGCTTTTCCCTGGCTGGCAAATGAAAGCCTTAGGAACCACCCTGGGTGAGGTTATTCATGGTCTGTGGGGCAAGAAGTCCCCATGCTGGTGCTCAGGAGCCCAGAAGGCAGGCTGTTCACAGGGCTGGCGCTGACTTTGGGCGCATAGCCGGAAACAGTTTGACTCCTCCCTGTACCCTTTCCCCAAAGCCTCCACTCCAACTCTCCGCTGGACATCAGCATCAAAGGCCAGATGATCCGTGACCTTCTGAACCTGGCAGGCTTTGTTCTGCCCACCGCAGAGGATATCGTTTCCAGCTCTGGCAGCTCCAGCAGCTCCAGTGCCAGGTTAGCCTCCTCACTTGGCTGTGGCTGGGCAGACAGTGCAAACGGCCCCATGGGGACTGTGGGAAGGAGCGGTGCAGGGGTGCCCTCTCCTCCGTCTCGTGCTGCTTGGTCTGACCCCATGGTCTTCCCACACACCTCTCCCACGTCAGTGCTTCTTAAAAGTGTTGCTGGTGATACTGCTTCCAAGTCAGGAATCTCTACAGGGCCAGGGAATCAGCTTTTAACTCCTCACAGGGACATTTGAGGCCCCAGCCTCCTTTTCCCAGACGCCCTCTTCTCTACTGCTCCTGTGCTCTGACAGACCAGTCGCTCCTAGAACCTCAAAATTGAAAGGCTCAGTGAGTTGAGTCTTTTCTCTGAAGTGGGTATGGTTTCACTGTCCCTCCATAGTGTCCCCTTCTCTGCTCATGAGCTTTTTTCCTCCTGAAATTCTCTTGCATCAGACCTCCCTGTTGTGACCTTATCCTGCCATGAGAACCTAGTTGAAGGCAGCATGTTCATGAAGCCAGCTCCCTGTGGGCTCTCCGTACTGTAGCCCCAAACCTCTTGGAACCACTGCTGAGGAAAGGGAACTAATTTTTAGTCGGTACCTACTGTATGTAAGGAGGCACCTGTAACATCTCCCCCTCAACCATGTGAGGTTGGTACTAGTATCCTCAGTTTACAGATGAGGAAAGTGGAAATCACTGGAATTAGGTAGCTCACCCATGGTTATTCAGCTACAGAGTGGTAAAGCTGGGAATCCAATCCTGATTTTCTGGGAATAAAACTTGCTTTCCCCACCATGCCTCGTAGACTCCTGTGTGGCTGTGCTGTGGTTGTTATTTGACACCTGCCATCTGTGAGTTCTTTGGAGGCCACGTACATGTCTCTCAGCAGCAATCATAGTGATGTGGATGAAGAAACTGGGCAGGGAGTTCGTAATGTGCCCAGGGTCACACAGCCAGTGCTGAGCTAAATGAAAACTGATGTATGCAGCGATTATTTCAGGGTCTTTTTTTTTTTTTTTTAACCACTGAAATGCAACCCAGTGAAGGTACCTTAAACTCTTTGAGTTCTCCCATGGTACTTGATCTTTGATGCTCAGACAGGTTACTTGAGTAGAGTACGTTACAGTCTGATCTACACTCAAGTAACAAACATCTGTCAAAACTTCTTTGTCTTCTCTTGAGATGGGGGTGACTCCCTCCAACAAACCATTTAACCTTGGTTCCCCAGTGAGTCCGTGGCCCCAACTAAGAATGTCTTTCTCCTCCAGCCAAGCTAGGGGCCCTGGGCTGGACCCTCTCTCCACATGTCCCCAGGATGTGAAGCTGTTGACCTTACCCTCACCTTCTTTTCCATCCACTGCACTAGCTTGCCCAGCTCCCCCAAGGATAAATGTCGAATGGCTCCGGAGCATTTCACCGCACAGAAGATGAAGAAGGCCTATTATCTGACCCAGAAAATTCCCGATCAGGTAGGAGATTACCCTCCGCCCCCAAATGCCAACAGAAAGTTCCCTTGGTTAAACAAACATCTGGGAGCCCAAAGCAAGCGGATTTTTTTCTCTCGCTCTAAAACGGCTTCCTGGGGATCCCTGGGTGGTGCAGCGATTTAGCGCCTGCCTTTGGCCCAGGGCGCGATCCTGGAGACCCGGGATCGAATCCCACGTCAGGCTCCTGGTGCATGGAGCCTGCTTCTCCCTCTGCCTATGTCTCTGCCTCTCTCTCTCTCTCTCTCTCTCTCTGTGTGACTATCATAAATAAATAAAAAAATTTTAAAAATAAATAAATAAATAAATAAAACGACTTCCTAACGCAGCTCTGTGATCCCTCAGTGTGCAGGGATCTGCGGGCTCCGTGTTGCTCCAGGAGAGGGTTGCTGGCCTTTGTCCCACGGTCAGCTGCTGCTCTCAGCAAAATGCTCTACTTGTTATCAGAGCTGTAGACCCTTCGGGTTTCTTCCCTTGAGGTACAGTGAGCCCCAGGGACGCCTGATGACTTTTTGCAGCAAATGAGAATAGTAGACCAAAGGCTGCTGCCAAATCTCAGCTGCAAATTCTGATCTTGACTCCATCCAGCAGACCTCTTAAAACCTCTGGGCTCCAGGGGCCCCTACCCAGACTAAGACTATCTTCTCCGGACAGCAGAACAGACAAGGTCCCCAGCCGGACTCACTAGTCGGCCTTTGCTGTTCCCTTTGGGAGTCCTGGAGCCCGAGAACCTCAGAGCCATGCATGCTGTCCCCCAGCTTCTTAATTCTCTATCTCCAGCCCACACTCTCTGTCACACCCTCTTCCTTTCCATTTTTGGGCCTTAGGACTTCTATGCATCTGTGCTGGATGTCCTGACACCAGATGATGTTCGGATTCTGGTTGAGATGGAGGATGAGTTTTCTCGCCGTGGTCAATTTGAACGAATTTTTCCTTCTCGAATCTCTTCTCGCTATCTCCGCTTTTTTGAGCAGCCACGATACTTCAACATTCTCACCACCCAATGGGAACAGAAGTACCATGGCAACAAGCTCAAAGGTGATGTGTCCTCCTTGCCCACAGGAGGCCGTGTTTAGTGAGTGATTAAAGAAATGAGCCTCCCTGATAAGAAGAATTGAGCAGTTGATTCTACCCTCTTAAGTCCCACCCCTGCTAATCTTGTCCTAGGAGTAGATCTGCTTCGGAGTTGGTGCTACAAAGGGTTCCACACAGGAGCCATCTGTGATTCTGCTCCAATGGTGAGTGATACTATTTTGGGGGGTGGGGGTGGGGGGACTCCAGTCCGCCTCAGTCCCTCCTCCACCATAGGAGTGCAGCATGGAATGGATGTAGATCCAGACCCTCTCACCTTCTCCCCTAGACCCTTTCTCTGTGTCTCGTGACCCTTTCCTTTCAAGGGAATAATGGCCTCCAGGATCCCCTGGGTGCCTTTTTTCCAAAGGTCAACGAGTGCTTGGTAGTCTCAACTTCTTGTCTGAATCTGGAGAGAATGGGGATTTTTGTCCCAGATGGGCCCGTGCCTGAAGGGTAGGGAAGAGGAGAGCCCCATGATCACTCAGAGGTAGAGCCAGAAGAGAGTCCCAAGACCCTAGACACTCCCGCCTGACTTTGCCTTAGCCCTTTTGGCCTCATTGCTTCCTTTGCTTTTAGTGGTCTCTCCCAGCATCACTTCTGACCATCCCAAAGGGTGACGTGGGACTCAGCGCTTTCCCCAAACTAGAGAGTGGCAAGCTGGGGTGAGTGCTCTCTGGGCAAGGGAAGGGTGTTGGGTGTGAGTTTGGGGAGTTTTCTCCTTCCTCTCTTCCCAGATTATGATGAGATCAGCATTCTCCAGGTGGGGGTGGGGGTGGCAAGATATGCAACTGCCATCTCCTCTGCCTGGTGGCTCCTCGTCTGCCTGGCACAGCTGAGCTGGAGTGCAGGATTACCTGCAGACATGGCCCCTCTCTGCTGTGCGCACTGCCTGCGGACTCCTTGGCCCTCCTCTCTCACTTCACATTTGCACCAAGCTCTCCAGCCTTCAGATAAAGAAGATGTATTTTATAGTTACCTCTGTATGGCGTGTAGCACAGTAATGGTGTGAATGCCTGGTCTGCACTCTGAAGGTAGATCTAGGCTAAAGTCCCATCTCAGCCATTTCTTTCCTCACTGTTTCCTTCAGAAAACACAGCTTCTCCGAGGGAAGCATACCACTCTGTGAAGATGGGACCATGCCTAAGCCCAAGAAGACCCAAGCTGGCCTTTGTCCTGTTCCCGGGAAACCCAGTTCTTCCAAGGACAGTGAGGACATCAGCAAAGAGCCCAGCCTCTCTACCCAGATGTTACCTCTGTTGAAGTACTCTGGGCAGACTTCGAGACTCTCTGCTTCCCCCACCTCCCAGTCAACCGGTGACTCACTCCTGGCTGCTGTGAGCCCATGACTGGCCTCTCTCCACTAGCCCCTGCCTAGGAGCACCGGTGTTAGCTACCTCATGGGAACTGGCCGGCCGGCCAGCCAGCCTGAGCCCCCGGTCCCTTCCTCAAAGTATTTTTTTGAAGTGGTTGAATTGCAGAAATGGGTATCTAGAGGGCTGGAGGGGTGGTGGGAATGGGGAGAAGGTGAGGAAGGTTCACTGGCTGGTACCTCATATCTCTGCAGAGAAGCCACTAATGGCCACTCAGCCTTATAAAGCAGGGTTTGGTTTCTAACTTCAGAAAGCCGTGTGTGGTTTGTTTTAGACCTTGGTGCAGTGATTGAGTTACAGCTCTGGAGGAGAAGACGCAATGAACACATTTGGGCCTGAAGTCCTTTGTCTGTAATTGAGGAGGTCCCTCCAAAGGTCCTCCTCTCCTCCATCATCACCCTCAGTCCCCGTGTCCCAAACCTCCTGTTCTGAGGAACCACTTTGAGAAACTTCAGATTTCTTCAGGAGACAGGCAGGGAGGGAGAGGCCAGACATGATCAACCCATTTCCTATCATACCAGTCTTCAGGGATTCACTTCTTTCATATACCCAGCAGTCAACAGTCCTGAGTCTTCTTTTTCTGACCTCACATCACTACCTGTTCAGCCTTCTAGACTTCTCTCTCATGGATGTTAGTTCTTAGTGCTCTGTGAGGTGAGAGGTCTTGTGAGCTCTGCAAATTTCCTGTGGCCCCATTGAAGGAGCCCAGATAATCCCAGTTGCTGTTGTCTCTGCTCATACAACGAAGGACACCATCCAGGGGGAAGTGACAGGAGCTGTGATTTCCCCACAACATGGAGGAAGTTTCAGGTTCTGCTTACTCTTGTCACTGTCTGATGAGCGGGGTCTGGCTCACAGGTCTGATGGCATGGCAGGTGGATTTCAGGAGCAGTCACCACTGTAGGATGGCTTTCCAGTCAGACTGCTGACAAAATTCTTTGTGCTTTTAACTGAATCTACCTCCCTCCCCAAGACTCAGTAAAATGGTGACCATTCGATAGATGTTGACGGAGTGAAGCATGCTTACAAAGAACACAAACACCCAAACCAGAAATTCTCCTCTCCCGGGGCACGGTGGGGTCCAGGGGAAGTATAAGGTGTGATCGGGAAGGTAGTTTTCACTTGAACTGTGCTCCCCTCAACCCAGCACTTCTGGGTAGCTGCTACCTCCCTCCCCAGGCCTGAGGTTTCTTTACTCTCATTTTCTAGCAGTGGTGCCCAGTAAGAAGGCACCTGGCCCCGGGCTCTCTGCCTTCATTCTCTCGAAGTTTTGGAAAGATAACTACCCTGCTTTGTGGCTCCTAGAGTTCTAAGTGGAGAGTTGGGATAGAGCCATAGAAAAGTCACTGAGAGGCCTGGCTGGGTTCAAGGCCACCCAGTGATGGCTACACTGGCCAGTCTGAGGGCCATGTTGACAATTGTGACGAAAGCTTTGTGGCAAAGTCCTGGGGCAACACATGCTGCTCGGCGGCAAGGATTTCAAAGTCAGGCCCAGCAACAGAGGCCCTGGGAGTCTGGTTAAATCCATTTGGGTAGAAATGACTCCAACTCCCCCATCCTACCTGCATGCAGTACTCTAGAGCAATGTCAAAACAAACCTTGTGACAAGGGCAGATGCGGTCTTCCTAAGAAAGCTGGCCACCTGCTTGAGTACTTTTGTGATGTCTGGTCTGGTGCAAGGGCTTCAGTGTGGAGGCCTGGCCAAGCTGCTTTACTTCTTGGAAAGCAACTTCAGTTCTTTGGCCCGCCATCTGAGAATCCCCAGACAGCATCCATGCAATGAGAGGGGCCCGGCATTGTGGCAGCATGGAATGGCGGGTGAGAGGTGGACTTAGTAAGTTAAATGAGTAATGAAAATAAGTGTCCTTAGTAGTTTAAAGCATGTGTATACAGACATTTTTAATTTCCATCACATCACATCATATCTGAAGGTGTGTTTTGCCAGATGGGAGAAAGGAATGGGTCTTATATGCCCCCTTCATCCTTGAGAGAAAATTGAATCTTGCTTAAGCATTCAGCATACATGTTTAGCAATGAAAACCCACAGTATAAGGTATTCAGCTAAATAAGGGCTTTAGGGGAAGTAACGAAATTTTTTTTTTAAGTTTAATTTTGGAGCTATAGTAAACATCAGAATGTATCCACTATTTTTCTAAATTGGCAACTTACACCCAGGCAAGTGTTCCTGAGCCAAAGAATGAAATACAGGGTATTTCTGGGTCAGTGGAGTAGGGATCCAGGGGAATGGGGGTATGGAAGGTGGTCACTATTCCCATTCACTTCAGATTCACTCAGGATTGATAGAAAACTGTTTTTAGAATGAACACTAATGAAGAGGTGGCATTGTGATAGGAAGAGAGCATGGACCTTGTAGTTTGACCCTGGGTTCTAATCTCAGATCTGCTGTGTGACCTTCGGCATGTTATCTAACTTTTTAAAGTCAGGGTTGGTTTTTTAAAGATTTTATTTATCTAGCTATTTATTTATTTATTTGAGCACACGCATGAGCAGTGGGGAGGGCAGGGGGCAGAGGGAGAGAATGTCAAGCAGACTCCATGCTGAGCATGAATCCTGATGCAGGGCTCAGTTCCACAAACCTGAGGTCACAACCCAAGCTGAAACCAAGAGTCAGACACCCAACTGATTGGGCCACCCAAGCATCCCTAAAGTCAGGTGCTTTTAATAATTTGAAAATAATACCTACATGCCAGGACTGTGAAAATTAAGCAAGACATAGTAAAAGTACTTAGGTTGTAAAGGGACTTAATACATGGTTACTCCTCTCTCCATTTGCTGCTCAAGCCCCGCTCCTTGGCTAAGGGAAGGCAGGCAAGAAATGTAAAGCCCTTTCCACAGGGAAGTGAAGCAGCTGAGACGTGTTAGGGGTGAGGAATGCCAGAACAGGCTTTATATACCTCATCACCCTCCCACCCTGCACAAACACCACCAGCATTAATCATTCTGCTGTTTTGCTCTTCACTGGGCATTTCTTTGATTAATATTTTAGAGAATACAAATTTTCTGGGACAGGAAACACATTAAGCATTTTAAGTATGTGAATTGAATGAAATTCTTCAGTCCTATCCCAAGAGAAACCTCAATAAAAACAAGGGAGTGAAAGGGACCTGGTGGCAGGAAAGGGGGAGGAGCAGGGCAGGTACAGAAAGGAGACCTTGAGCTAGGGCCAAGGGACATGCAGACCCAACAGCTGTGCCGAGGGACAGCTGTTACAGGTGCATTCTTAAGATTCTAGGCTGTTCGTTGAGGGTGGTTATCCCTATCACCATAGCCAAACAGCACACCCAGAGGTCCCCTGGGACCATCCAGCACTGGGCCAGTGAAAGAGGTGGACAATCCAGCGCATGGTAGGTAATTCCATGTCCCTGTCAGCTGAATTAGTTACACAAATAAGGGTCACTAAAGGCAGCCAGGGGACCTCCCCTTCCTGTTTCCTCTGGATTTGTCCTTTAAGACATATGATTCAGCTGTGTACTTACTGATTGAATCCCCCAACTGCTTTGAGACTTTTCAGAGATGTGTAGCCGAGGCACCTCTATTTCATGCCACTTGTGATTCTGATCCAGCTTCTCAAACCTTGGCCTTTGGACCCCACCCCTACCCCCACCTGAGCGGAGTTTGCATCCTTGTTAATGTCCAGGGATCAATAGATGCTCTTTTGACATGACCTTTCATCAGCTTTGGAGCAATGAAAACTGCAAGCAGTCTTACATTGCTCTTGGCAGATTTCTCACATAGATGAAAGAATACAAGAAGGATCAATAGTTTTCTAAAACTTATTTGCGCCTTTATTATAATGGATTAGGACACAGAATGCTAGGGACTGTCACTGGAAAAGCTAACACAATGAAAAGCTCTTCTATGTAAAACATTAGACAGTGTCTGATAACAGTGCAGGTTTATTTTTTTTTTTTAAGATTTGTTTATTCATGATAGACATAGAGAGGGAGAGGCAGAGACACAGGCAGAGGGAGAAGCAGGCTCCATGCCAGGAGCCCAATGCGGGATCCCGGGACTCCAGGATCGCGCCCTGGGCCAAAGGCAGGCGCTAAACCGCTGAGCCACCCAGGGATCCCCCATAGTGCAGATTTAAAATAGATTCTGGGGCTCCCAGCTGGCTCAGAAGAGCATGTGACTTGATCTCAGGGTCGTGAATTCAAACCCCAAGTTGGGCGTAGAGATTACTTAAAACTTTAAAAAAATAGATTCTAAAATAACACCACCAAAAGGATTTTTTCCATCAAGTAATAGTAACCAAGCACGTTACTATTTCAATAGTTCTTTTTTTAAAATTTTTATTTATTTATGATAGTCGCACACAGAGAGAGAGAGGCAGAGACACAGGCAGAGGGAGAAGCAGGCTCCATGCATTGGGAGCCCGACGTGGGACTCGATCCCGGGTCTCCAGGATCGCGCCCTGGGCCAAAGGCAGGCGCTAAACCGCTGTGCCACCCAGGGATCCCCTATTTCAATAGTTCTACAAAACTGTTACAACAGCATTTTGCTATTATAAAACTAACCAAATCTCCTTTAATACTATTTGTGAGATACAAAACCTCATGATTTCATCAAGATAATTAACTTAGAAAGATTGGATTTAACATTCGTTGTCAGGAAATTGCATTTAAAACTATAAAGATGCAAGTTCAGAGATTTAGTGTATATGCTTGAATGAGGATCCAGTGAGGGCAAAGTTACCATCTGTAGGATTGTGACTGACCCTTTAGGTCAGAATGTTATTGAGGCTAAACGATAGGGCAGCATGACTGGGCCTCCACCCATTCTCACAGGTGCCTGCTGCCTGAGCGGAGAGCCGCTCCTCCAGAGACACGAAGGAAGGAGCTGCCTCCTTGCATGCCATGCGAGGCACATTCAAGGAGAACCTGGTGTTACACTTTTTGTAGAGGGCCTGTTTCTGGGTCTGGGTTGCTAAGTAGCTGAGCAGTAGCCTCACTGGGATCTGTTGAAAGTCAGCCCTTGACATAAGCGGGTAGGGGTGGCGTGGGAAAGGAGCAAAACAAAAGAAAGCCAAAATACAAGAAAAACCGCAAGGAGACACCACGTACATAGTGGGATGGCTCAAATGAAAAAGGCTGAAAATACCCTGTGTCAGCAGCTGGAATGCGCACATTGCCGGTGGGAATGGTACATTGGAAAACAGCCTGGTAGGTTCTTGTAAAGTGAAACCTACTCTTCAACATATGACCCAGCAGTTCACTCTTGCATGCAAACGTTCATAGCAGCTTTATTCATAGTAGCAAACACTTGGAAACAACCCAAATATCCAACAACTACTGAATAAATTGTGATACATCTATTCAATACTACTTCGATATTAAAAAAGGAATAAGCTGGTGTGCCTGGGTGGCTCAGTCGGTTAAGTGTCCAACTCTTGACTTTGGCTCAGTTTGTGATGTCAGGGTCGTGACATCAAGCCTTGCGTTGGCACCACGCTGGGCGTGGATCATGCTTAGGATTCTCTCTCTCCCTCTGCCTCCCCCAGTCCCCCACCCCAGCATGCACATTCACGTTTCTCTCTCTCTCTCTCTCTCTCTCTCTCTCTCTCTCTCAAAAGAACCAAAAAACCTAAAAACCTGATATGCAACAATATGGATGAATCTCAAGAGCATTGTGCTAAGTCAAAAAAGCCAGAAACAAGGGATTATGTACTTTACGATTCCACTTAATATAACAAAGGCAAACTAGTGACAAAAGCCTATCAGTGGTTGCCAGAGACTGTAGATGAGGGAGGGGATTGACTATTCCGGGGCATGTTGGAAATACTCTATCTTGATTGTGATAGTGGTTACATGACTGTACATTTGTTAAAAGTAGTCAAATTAGACACTTGAGATGGGTGAATTTTATTGTAGTAAGTAAATAAAGCTAACTTTTTTAAAAGGACAAGGAGATACCGTTTCATGATGCATATGCAAATTAAAGACAATGAGATAATACCAGAATAATTAAAGTTTAAAAGGCAAACAAGACCAAATGTTGGAGAGGTTATACCATCGGGGCTTTCACATATGACTTGTGAATGTTAAAATGGTACAACTGCTGTGGAGCACCAGCAGTTTCTTGTGAGTTAACATATATCTACCTACGATTCAGCATTTCCACTCTTAGATAACCCCTCCCCGATAAAATAATACACCCACCAAAAATGTTGTTGCAGCTTTCTTCATAATAACAAAGAGTTGGAAACAACCCAAATGTCTCTCAATAGAAGATCAGATAAACTGGTCAGAAATACTATCACTCAGCATAAAAAGAAACAAACTACTGATTTACTCAACAACCCGAGTCTGGAAAAAATTATATTGTGTAAAAGAAGCCAGATGCAAAAGAGTACACGCTGTACCACTCATGGAGTTCAAGAACTGAGGAAAGTAAACTATGGGGATTAAAATCTGAGCAGTGTTTCCTTCTGGGAGTTAAATGGTGTGGTAAGTAAAGGGGTGTCAGGGAACTTTCTGGAGTGATGGAAATGTTCTTTTTTTTTTTTTTTTTGGATTTTATTTATTTGCCAGGGAAGGAGAGAGAGCATGAGCATGGGGAGGGGCAGAGGGAAAGGGAGAATCAGGCTCCCCACTGAGCAGAGAGCTGGACCTTGGGCTGATCCCAGGACCCCGGGGACTTGACCTGAGCTAAAGGCAGACATTTAACTGATTGAGCCACCCAGGAGCCCAGCAATGCTCTATTCTTGATGGGGGTGTTGTTCACATAGGGAATGCACTAGTTAAACTCATCAAGTTGTGTGCTTAAGACCTGTACATTAATTTTAAGATAGCACTTATTATTTTTTTTTTAGAAATTGAGGTAACATTGACACAACAAAATTAACTTATTTTTTAAAAGACTTGTGTGAGTGAGTAGTAGGGAGAGGGGCGAAGGGAGAGGGAGGAAGAATCCTCAAGTGGATCCCCCACTGAATGTGGAGGCTGATGTGGGGCTCATTCTGGGGACCCCAAGATCATGGCCTGAGCTGAAATCAAGAGTCAGCTGCTTAAGCAACTAATTTGGGCGTCCCCAAATTAACTGTTTGAAAGTGAACAATTCAGTGGCATTTAGTACATTCACAATGTTGTGTGACTGCCATCAGTCCCAAAACCTCCTCATCAATCTAAAAGGAAACCCTAGGGGGAATCCCTGGGTGGCTCAGTGGTTTGGTGCCTGCCTTTGGCCCAGGGTGTGGTCCTGGAGTCCTGGGATTGATTTCTGCATGAGGCTCCCTGTATGGAGCCTGCTTCTCCCTCTGCCTGTGTCTCTGCCTCTCTCTCTGTCTCTCATGAATAAGTAAATAAAATCTTTTAAAAAAATAAAGAGAAACCCTAGCACCCCTACCCCCAGCCCCCACTTTCTGTTTGCTGTTTCTATTGATTTACCTATTGTGGATATTTCATGTAAATGGAATCCTACAATTAGTGATCTTTTGTGCCCGGCTTCTTTCACTTAGTATATTTTAGGTCCATGCACTTCGTAGCATGTATCAGCACTTCATTCCTTTTTTTGGCTGAATAATATTCCATTGTGTGCCTGTGTAGATTCACAACCACCTCCTAAGCTTTCCTGGTGTAATCTGAAACCAGCCCGCATACGCAGAGGGCGGGGAGAGGCTGAAGAAAGAAGCAGGCCACCCCAGCGTGGTAGGTGGCAACTTTAATACTAGCAAAGGGAACTTACATCTGAGGCTTGTGTTGGGTGGCAGCAAGGTGAATGGATCCCCACACCCGCCCTGCAAATCTTAAAATCTTATAAAGAGGCCCTACCTGGGTTCAGCCACATATACTATGCAGGTGTTTTCAACACCTCATCACCACCCCCAACGCTCTGTCCTTGGAGCAGGGAAAGCAAGTGGAACCCACATTTCAAGGACAGGGGAGAGAGGGAGTGTCTGGGTCCAGTTCACAGGTCAATCAGTGGTCATGTTTTGTTTTGTTTTTTAAGACTTTATTTATTCATGAGTGATAGAAAGACACAGGTAGAGATAGACAGAGGGAGAAGCATGCTTCCTATGGGGAGCCCGATGTGGGACTTGATCCTAGGACCCTGGATTCCCGACCTGAGCCAAAGGCAGAGGCTCAATCACTGAGCCACCCAGGCATCCCAATGTTTTTTGTTTGTTTTTTAAGAATCACATCCCCCAGCAGTATATAGTATTATTTATCCATTCATCCATTGGTGAACATTTGGATGGTTTCTGGCTTTTGGCTATTGTGAAGAGTGCTCTTGTGAACACGCTTGTGTATGTATTAGTTTGAGTGCCTGTTGTCAATTCTTTTGGATATTGTATTAGTTCACCAGGGCTGCTGTGACAATGCACCACACATTGGGTGGTTGGTTTAGAACAATAGAGACTTACTGTTTCGCAGTTCTGGAGGCCTGAAACCTGAAATCAAGGTGTCTCCAGAGTTTGTTCCTTCTGAGGATATGAGGGAGAATTTGTTCCATGCCTCTCTCCTAGCTTCTGGTGGTTCATTGATAATCTTTGGCATTCCTTGGCTTGTAGACCTAACACCCAATCTCTGCCCTCAGGTCCACATGTCCTGGTGTCCCTGTGTGCCTATCTGTATCCAAATTTCCCCTTTCCATAAGGACACCAGATTGGAATAAGGACCCACACTGCTCTAGTATAACCTCAACTATTTACACCCTGCAATGACCTTATTCCCCAATAAGATCACAATATGAGCTACTGAGGGTCAGGACTTCAATATATGAATTTGGGGGCACACAATTCAGTGCATCATAGCACATATGTAGGGGTGGAATTCCCAGCTCATATCAGCAACTGATAATGCTGTGACAAGGACATTATCAGCCTTGGTATGTAGCTCTCTAGAATAATTACAATAGTCAAAATATTGTCAGTGCATGATATATTTAAAATTTGAAAGATAGTTCACTTGAAACAAGCCAACCCAAATCTGAATACAAATACAGAGGAATACAAATTTTAAGTCATTTTTCTTGGAACTGATTCAAAATCAGGATCCATGGGCTTGGTAAGTGCCAAGTATCTCAGCAATCATACCTAAGACTGTAGCTGAGAAAAATTCTTTTGCCTTTATCACATGGGAAAAATCTCAAATCCCTGGGGATGAAAGAGGGGTTTTTTTGTTGTTGTTGTTTTGTTTTGTTTTGCAATCCTTCTCTAGCCTCCACAAATGACCTTATGGGTTGTGCTATCACTAGATGAAGCCTTGGACATTGAGAATCTCATCATGATATATTTCAGAAGAGAAATCAAAGAAGAGGTATTACAGACATTTTATTTATATGTGTACTTCTGACAGTGGATGCTTAAGCAAAATAGTAGCTATCGCTTATGAGTTTCTATTATGACTGGGGCATTGTTCTTGGAGGAAACACACACACACGAGCATGCACATAAATGCATGTATGCCCACATACCTATTCTTACCAAAAAATGCCTTCAATGTTGGTATTATTATGATTTCTATTTTCCAGATAAGAAAAATGAGGTTCAAAGAGGTTCGATGACTTGACCAAGGTTATTGAATGAATTAATGAATGCATGTACTGCCTGGTTTCCCAGTGCCTGGGTAGCAGTTACTGACTTTCAGAAATCAGTGGAACACTTGGCCTGAAGGAAGGATGGACAATGAAGCCAAAAAATGAGTCAAAAATATTAGAAGACTGACAAATGTGACAGTGAATTAATCCATATGGTCAGAGTTACTCTAATAGTTCATAAAGTAATATTTAAATGTTTTAGAACTGATTTTTAGTGGGGTTTTTTTCCCATATAATGTGCTTCCTATGCATTTTCCCTCATTGAAAAATGATGAAATAGACAGTACATGCCCTTTGTCAAAAGGAGTTTCTAATATCATTATTTGAGTATTTGTGGCACATCCCCAAACTTGTGGGTTTTCTTTTCTTTCCTTTTATTTTGTCTCGAGATATATTTTAGGAGCACTTGGGTGGTACAGTTGGTTAAGCAACTGACTCTTGGTTTTGGCTCAGGGTCATGGGATCAAACCCCACATCAGGCTCTATGCTCAGTGTGGAGTCTGCTGGAGATTCTCTCCCTCTCCCTTTCCTTCTGTTCTTCCTGTTGCTCTGTGTGCTTGTTCTCTCCAAAATAAATAAAATCCTTTAAAAAATCTATTTTATTCATACCACTCTAAATAGTGGCTTGCATTTACTCTAGAATAAAAAGGCCTACATTTACACTTACAGGTTTCCTAGTGATTACATATCCTAAAAGTTACCCCACTATGTACCTTAGAGGTGCAGCTGTAAATAAGAGAGATTTCATAAATTGGAGTCTAGAAGTTCAAACTGCAGATTAGATTTTATTTATGTGAGAAGCCAAATTCAAGACCAATGCTACCCATCATAGTGATCAACCTGTAGCTAATTAATTCTACAGAGACACCTGTAGTATCATTAAAGAGAATTGCCAACTCCCATCTGACACGTATCCTGACAACCCTCACCCCTAATATTGAAGATGGTAAACCAACTCCTCAGGATAAAAGATAACACGTTTGGAGTCAAGGGCAATTTTTAAGGGAGACAGCAATAAAGAAAGTT